AGTATAGCTCTTGAAATTGGTGGGTATGCACCCAGTAATTCCAGGTATAACCATGGGCCCAACTGTGAAAAGCAGTTAGAATAATACAATGGATAGATAATATATGAAATACTTGCATATGACATCCCCAGTCATTTTGGATATCACAATTGACTCACTGACTAGGACCATCACATAGATTGTACACAGGATAGCTAGCAGTGTGGCACTACAGGCATACATGGCCCATAGTCTCAGAATGTAGACAGCTTCAATTATGCTAATTATGAGTAATAAAGATACAAACTAACAATACAACATACCACAAACTGAGATTTCAAAAGGTATAGATCCATATGCTACCAAATGTAGCCAAGCCTTGCAGCTACAAGTATGAGCCAAAAGAGAATATCACATAATTTGGCTTCAATCTCAATCTCTGGTAGTAAAGTACATACAACTAAAAGCACAGTAAGATATCTTACTCACGCCAAGAATAAGGAGTGTAACACGCACTGCTTTGTTTGAGTTATTTTGCACAGCAAACACTAGATCAAGTAAAAGTCTGCTCAATTGAACAGTAAATATGTAGGATAGCACTTACCAATGTTATCCAGTCTATATCAGGGCAAGGTAAGGATTTTTCTCATGCAGGCTAGCATGTCATACTTACAAAACATTTATCATGCTGCAGAAAAGAGACATCAGACTGAAACTACTTAGCCATTGTTTGAGAACTCTTACGGCCAATAGCGGTTCTAATTTTTGTATGCATTTATAAGTGGATAATGCAACACAGGCATGTAGTCCCACTTACAATGCAATACAAGATATTCGTCCACTTGAACCTTCGTAACCAAATATACGTGATCTATGTAAGTATGAGCATTGAGCCACACTGCGATCGGTCAGGTTTGTTTATTCATGGGCTATACCTCGTCGCCTATCATCAAGACTACATAGCCGATTCAGGATGTGACCGCAAAACGAATGGTGAGCAGCTTTACTCACGCCAATCATATAGCAGCAAGGCGAGGCTCAGACCTATAACAATGGCGCGCAAAGCAAGCGGCAGTGAGATCATCGCGCACATACTAACGAAATACTCACTCCATATGATACGCGTGAGCTGGTAGTCGCGCGCAAAGGTGATGAGCTCATTCAGATCCAACGGTGCCTCTATCGCGGATGGATCAGAGGACATAGTAAGCTACTGAACAGCGCTGAGCACTGGGTAGCGGCAATAAACGAGCACGCTGGTTATATGAGGCGTGACCAGTTACCATCTGCCACGCTGGCGTTCATTTGTATTGTGCCCGCCTTGTCTGATACGGTTTGCCATGCCTCAAGATCGATATGTTGTGTAGAAATACAGAGTCGTGGCAGATGACCGGGGGAAGTCACGCACCGACTACAGGTTTGTAGCAGCGCAAGCCTTCTTCCGCCACACAGGGTAAGATGAATATCCATTTACAACTTGGGGTGGTTGTTGTATCACGTCGGGACCGAAGAGGATGATGGCACATCCTGAAAGGGGATGTTGTATCACCAGCTCTGTGGGCCCATAGTACCCAAATGGTTGGAAACCTCATGGGCTCAGAGCTCCGATGACACTTTGAATCAAAAAGAAATGACTCGGAAGAGGCGCCGCGTGCCGATAATTGAACAATTTGGAGCCAGCATCTAATATCGTTATGGCGCTGCGAGAAGTAACACTTAAGCGCCGGGCGTAGCCAATGCTGAAGACAAACAAGACCGTTAACGGCTCCAATTTGGGTGCAACGCGGCTTCTGTCCTCATCTCCTCTGTGGCTGTTGAACAGAACCAATGGCTAGGCCAGGTTGGTGGGCGTCGATCTGTCATCGAAGACAGGTGCGGGAACACAGCTGTCATCGGCTCCGCGGCACCCCTGTGATCTTCACACGATGTGCATGCGCCAGCATCTGTCCGTGGACCATTCACATTGTAACAGAACCTCCGCCGACCCTGCCATGGACCCGTCCGCGCGTGTTTACTCCAGCTTCAAGCTCTACTTCTACGATTTTGTCGTCCTGGTCGTCTCAAATGCGCTCGCCTGGCGTTGTTCCACCAGAGCCGTACTCCTGCCCTTCTTCCAAGCACATATAGGCGAGCGCACACACCTCGATATCGGTGTCGGCACCGGCTACTACCCCGCACACTCCATCTTGAAGCTCGCACGGACCACGCACGTAACCCTGTTCGATCTGAATCCAGCCACGCTCCACAGTGCGGAGCAGCGCCTCCGCACGGCGGGATACAACGGGGTGATTGAGAAAGTTGAGAGGAGTATCTTCCTCCCTCTTCCGGAATCTCTTCAGGCCAAATTCGACTCTATCTCGCTCTTTTATGTTTTCCACTGTCTCCCAGGAAGCTTCCCTGAAAAGGCCATTAGCGTATTCACCGTGGCCGCTGCTGGGCTCGCACCAGGCGGCGTCCTCTATGGCGCGACTATCCTCGGGCAAGGCGTCCATCACAACTGGTTCGGGAGGCAGCTGATGGCGTTCTACAACAAGAAGGGAATCTTCGGAAACACGAAGGACAGTGCGGAAAACCTTGAGCTAGCCTTGAAGGAGTGCTTCGAGGATGTTAAAATAAGAGTTGTCGGAATGGCTGCTCTTTTCGAGGCGCGGGGTCCGATCAGCAAGTAAATGGCACTACTACATTTGTGAGTACTTACTGGAAACCAAGCTCCATGTCGTACCTGACCTACTCCCTGCATCAAGTTCATTCATTATCCTGGCAAGAATTCCTCGAGGTCACCCAATATCCCTATCCCCAAGTATCATTGACTTTTAAGATTCAACTGGAGCTACGATAGCGACGTTGAACTCACCCGTTTAGTTCAGGCTTTGTCAATGAAAGTTTGTAGAAACGCGTCTGATCTTGCATACGACATTGTACTACAACACGGAGGGCGGTGATCCCGAGTCTCGACGACTGTGGTCGAGTTGCGGATATCAATCACGCTGGCCAACTAGCGCATGGCATTGGGTGTCGACAAATAAAAGTATTCATAATTTCATAATCCGCGGCAGGTACTACACACATATCATGTCGGCACCGATTAGGACTACGCGGGTTACAAAAACGGCAGCCGGCCCAACATACTAATCCTTCACAGCAGCGCTGTTATTGCCTAAAATTTCGTCAGGAATCTCTGTTACGTCCCGGAATATCTTGATGGTTTTCTAGTTCAAGTTCATCGTCAACATCAGAGTGCCTATCAAGAACTCATAGAGGTTGTGCGTACCGGTCTGAGCGATCCGTGACTCCTATGTAACTCGATATCGACAGTAGTAGAAGAAATCTGTAATTTAGCTTTGTCGTTGTCGTGCGTTCAGCCTGGAAGAAAGATTAGCATGGACAGTCCAAATACTGAGGCCACAGGATAAATGCCGCACATAGCGATCAACGAATTCGCATACACTTTTGTAACATGTCAGCAGATGGGATTGCTAGATCTGGAGAACGCATACATTTGCTCTGGATCTCGCCCAATCTGCCAAAGAGAAGACTGGTGTTCAAAGCTGGTGCCCAGAACTGGATACAGAATGCGTAAGCAATGAGTATGAGTTGAACGATAGTTCGTCTCACTGCCATAATAGCCATCGAAATACACCTTTAGCGGCTGTGAGTCGACTTATTGTAAACAGGCAAATTCGGACTCGACTTACATCGTCAATGCACCGGTGTTAACAATGTAGGCCATCAACGTATGAACCAGCTTATCTGTCCTAACAGAAACGGCTCAGATGCCAACTCCACAGTGCGCAGTAAATGCTCACACTGGGTGACCTGTACGATTACTCCATAGGTAATACATTTGGCTGAGAGTGATGAGTGCATCCAGACTTCCTGACAGGCTGAGGGTGATTGTGGACGCAATCTATCGTGAGGGCAAGTTAATTTCAACATTCTATACAACGTCGCGATTCAGCTGGAAAGTATACCAGAGCTGCATGGGATGCTTTGTACTCGGCCCAAGTATGGAATTTCCATCTGATGAAATTTAAGCCAAATACTTTGAAATTCAATAAAGGATTGGTAAGTGACGTACATGAAGCCCAATACTACTATAACAGAGGTCAGAATAAGAATCAGGACGTGGGATATGATAGATGCTATGAAGATACTCCTACCTCACAGAGACCCTGAAACAAGATTGGTTAGATTTCGGCCAACGTAGCAATAATCACATATACCAATACGCATGAACAGCATGATTTCCTTTGCGATACTCACACTCAAATATTCTCAGCTTCGAGAAAAACACTCACCAGTATGGAGACCAGTGCAGTAGATTTTTTACTCACTGCAAACGCAGATTGATATAATCAATATGTATGAGTGTGTGTGGTGACGCACATATCCAGGTTCGCCAAACAAAAAACCTAAGCAGATGAAATATGAGACATTGTCATGAAACATGTAAAAATCGCACCCCTCAACCAAGCTCACCATAAGCTGCTGCGCTCCACTATAGCTACTGAGTATGCAACAGAATCGATCTGATCATAGTAAACTTACCTCTGAGAATAATGTAGCCTGCATGCAGAATGTACCTTGCCATTTCAAAATCATAAAAATTGCAAAATGATTTCACTTACCCTGGCGCTCCTGGAGCGAACGTCGAGCGTAAACATAGGGCACCAAAGGACAGAAACAGGACTCACCACACGATCTGAAGGTCTTCGACATTCCCAAAGTCGATGTTCGTGTAGCTGTAACTCAGATGTATGCAAAATACGGTGTGCGCAGTCTCCAAACACCTTTAACAGAATACAGTGCAGTGATAAACGTTTTTTATGGAGGCTAAAGTCAGGGATCTTACCATACGGATGCGACAAAAGAGCGAAGTAACTTCGAGTCCTCTTGTGATGTCCACCAACAGAAGTATGCCTGTGCGGTGACAATCCCGTACAGACTTGGGATGCAGGTGTCACAGTGAACAAGCCAGGAAACGTGCGTGGGGGAGTGGGAGCAGGAACGTACATGATAGCAATATCTATGGATAATATAAAGCCGCCTAAGTACTCTCCAATAGATGGAATAGGTTGTGAGGCGATGGCGATGTAAGCTCGTCAGCGGAAGGTAAGACATGTACGGCAGGCATCTTGGACTCCGGCGGGCTGACTTTGTGAAGGCACTCGAGTAATTTATAGAGAGCCATCACAAAGGTTCCTGAAATTTCCTTCATATGTATCTGATGCCACTTGAGATTAAAGGCATTAACCTGAGGTGCTGTATGCGACGTCCGCGCCATCCTGATTCAAACACTGGCCCGGCAGACTGCGGCGGTGACCGCATGCGGATATCTTCGGGATGGTTCTTTGTCTGCGACCTAGATAGAAGCGATCAGGTTGATTCAATTGAATCCAGGTATTCGCACCTAGTCTCAGTCAAGTTTACGAGATGCTATCTTGCAAGATGATTAGACTCGCGCAGTTGTACTATACAGGAAGGGTTAGCTGGCTATCATTCTCAAGCTGTCATTGTGGTGTCGCGAGTGATACTCAACCGAGAGCGGATGGGAAGCAATAGCCAGGTCACCAGTACTTGCGTACCATCATGAGCAGCCCCCCAGATCACAACAAGCGTTTGATTTGTATGATTGAAACAAGCGAGTTACAGAAGTTGCTGCCTCGTAACCCATAGCCCTCAATGTCATTGTGTTCCACTCTGCTCCTGTCAGATCATGTTCCTTTATGATTGGACAGCCCATATGGACCGAGCCTGCTGTCCTTGAAGACGCCTGGATAGTACTCTAGAGTTATGGAAGTTCCAAGTTGGCGCAGCTGGGCTCGTAGAAAGTTCTGCGGTGCAGCTGCACTTTAGAGGACCCCGGAAAATCCCCTAGTATGAGCCTCGATCCCTCGGGCAGCCATTTTCGGCGGTCGAAGTAGGCCCAAATTCGGCCTGATGGCACATATGCTCCCGGAAATTGGTCAATTTTCGGCTCTAATGGGATCAAAGCTCAAGAAGAAAAACTCGCAGAAAATCGCGCAAAATCCCAAAAAATCGCAGAAATTGCGGACTACATCTTCTTTCATTTCCTATCCATGATATTAACATTCCCCGCTGATATGTTTCATGTAACTGCATAGGATATTCAAAGCGCTGAATGCACGATAGAAAGTATCTAACCATAGTTCCTCAAGCTAAAGCTAGCTCATAAACCTTGCTAGACGTCCTGACTATTTCCCTCGATAGCTTGTGCGTGAAAGTATTTGCGACGAGTGTCCATCTCCCTTTGAATAGCTAGAGCACAAGTGGCCAGCTCACCATGCAAATGTTCAATGCTCCTATAGGCGTTGCAGCATGGTATGGGTTGGCCTTAGCATCTCCAACCCATGCCGCAGAGGTATCTTCGCCTGTTTGTCAATCGGGTTTGGGCATAGCGCGTTGAGAGTTACAATCAAATTCTCCTAGCGAAGGGAGAGGAAGCTTGGTACTCGACCAATGCTGATGTTGGTTGTAAATGTATTTTAAATGGATCAATATGTTGGTTAAATTAATGCTGCCTATATATATTCGCGTGAAACGGTGGCGTACTCACTTCACAATTCGATCTTTGTGAAGTCAGTGCGATAGCCACGGGCGTCTCTTTCCTATTAGGCAACAATGCATTTAAACTCAGCAGTGGCTGGGATGGTGCATCCGACATCAGTAACAATACTCCACGCGCAAATATCAGCTGTTAATATATTTTAGAGGGATGATTATGATGTTCGTATTGATGCTGTGTATGCATATCTACATGAAGTGTTGGTGTACTGACTTCACAATCGAATTGTGTGAAGTCAGTTGTACAGCCAGACTGGCATTTTGCTTCCAAGTTAGGCAACACCATCGAACTCAGCAGTGGCTACGTGTTGCGCACCACTACGAGGGCATTTGCATGTCTGAGAAGTCAAGTCTGTCTACCGGACTCGCGTTTCGACTCACTTGCGTACTGTTAGGTCGCCCGCTGTGCTGTTGTCTATCTCCTGCACCCACCGCCCCATCATCGCGAGCCGTCACTTCTCGAGTTATGTAATTCATGCCAATTTGGTCTTTCCCCATTTTCTCATTGAATGACACAGTTTCTCGTTCTGATTCATGTCAATTCTCACTGGGTGTGACCTTTGGTGCTATCGCGCGCGACACGCCCCACTGGTCATGAATTGACTCCCTTAGAGAAATCGCACTTGGCTGTAGTGCTCGTTCCTTATCATGATGACTCAGAGAAGGACAGTTGTTTATTCTGAGTGTGACATTAGATAAGCTGGAGACATAGGCACCTTTTCTCGCAGTTTTGTGTTTGGGCGCATTTTCTTCGGCGCCTAAAAGCACATCTGCGCTGCAGAACTTTTTACGAGCCCAGCTGCGTCGACTTTGAACGTCGCCTCAGCCTCCTGCAGAACCCATTCAACAGGTCTGAACAGCTCACATTAGCCATGCCTGCATCCTTGAAGGAAATCCATATTTTCGTCTTTGCCCCTTGGTTAACATCACGGAATCTGTGCTTGCGGCGTCTCTGTTCACCCTACTCATACGATCCCGCCGAACTACGATGATGATAACTTTGGGCTGCGTTCTGCACATCTGGAGTTTGGTGGTGCGGTGTCGAGCGACCAGTGCTGGCCGCTGACGTGCTGAACAGTGAGCGAGGGATCACAGAGGAAAGCGGGACACGGCGAGTTCACTCACCCCCTAAGCTCATAATGGGTGCACCCTTACTACATACCGCACACGAGGCATCCAGATACGACTGCTCTCCAAGTTTCGTAAGTCTCGTCCGCCTCAAGCCCGTGTCTTTATCTCCGATATCCTGGGGAGCCACCACTAGCAACTATGCGACGCGCCGCCAGTCTCGACGGATCCTATAGGACAGATAGCTTTCACACTCGCTATTAACTTATCATGCGAGATCCTGCAGAAAGGCGCGGATACCGCGACTTTGCGCTGTTGGGCTAGAAACCAAAACCAATTGGACGCGCGGCCGTGCGATGGACGGCGGAAACAGGAGGGAAGATGGAGAGCATATCTGGATGCACGGATATCTCTGTGTACAACCGATGTCGTCTACGTCTCGAGCCTTTCCTCGTGCTTCCCACTCGCTTTGAAGCCTACCGCCATGTCGACTCATGAAGGCTGTCGAGCACCGCTCTCTCCGTCTTTCCTGCAAACGCAATCTGCAGTGCCCTCCCAACTGGTGATAAGTCACTTTACTGCCACTTGTGCAAATTCCCTGTGCGCTTCATTGCGCTCAGTCGTGAAGAACTCGTCAGGCTGCAAGAAGCCCGTGCATCCCTCAGCACTTGGAAGCGTGCTCCAGAATCTAGACGAAAGGCAAGAACCCCTTCGTGAGCATTGTATGCTGCAATGAGAGCAACGTATCTGTCAGCCTCAAGCGTGGCCCTCTAGCAAGACCAGGACGAAGTCCAAGGCCCTCGTCACGTCGAAGTGCCTCGGTGGTGCCTCGCAACGCATAGTGACATTCGGAAACTGACTTTACGCTCTATGGGTGGTATGGATCGGGGTGACATCGTGTCCTCCGGCTTATATGCACACGGTATACTATATGCATACTTTTCAGCTAGTTGGACATGTACGTGTTTATCATTCTAGTCTCTACAGACGCATTCGAATTTCAGGATATTCTTATTTCAATGTCGGATGGTATTCTTGAGAGCTGGTAGCGTTTTCGACGTTTTAAGGCTGCTTCCACTCAAGTAAATTTGCACGCCATTCGAACATCTGGGCCAAGAGTTGCACGTCTGCACTTATCAATACATCTCCAAACGTCGTCGTACAGGCTGCATTAGTTGATCAATCGCATTAGTCTGTATGTCTTGCATTCTGTGTCTGAACTTTGCGGAATCTGATTGAACGTGTCACAGATATCACTCCTCCGTAGCAGTGGTGAGTGATGGTGTACCCATTTGCGTTGGAGCCTCCTTCGTTTATCCGATTCACCGATAGAGTCCTACCCCAACCCATCTGGAGATTTCGAACGAGTTTGGTGAAAACCTGATGACGCGTTTTAGTTTAGCCTTGTACGATCATGATTTCTAGGAATCTCCGTTCGGTCGTGTTCCATCTTATATCTCCACTCGGCGCTGCTCGCCTCATTAGCTGCCCAATTACCTACTGTCTTCTCCGCTATCCGCGCATCAAAGCCTACGCATTTTTGCATTGACTGCCCTGATATGGGTATCGAAAGGAGAGTTGGAACACGGTGCACCTGTCGAGAGAGCAGCGCAAGGGGTAGACGGTAAGTCATCGGTTGGCGAGCACAAGAGCGAAGAGAGAAAGAAATACAGCGTGGAGACATGCTGGCTCCTTACATGCCTGATCACTGCCGTTGTCCTGGCGGTGGACCTAGGGGAGGCCCCACCAGATCTCTGCGATCATTGCAGATTTATGGCACCAGATTCCTCCTCCTCCGGCCTAGTTTTCGATCGCTTTGCGCCACCGGTGATCGAGATCGTGCGGCATGCCTAATCCGCCCTTGAAGTACTGCATGTGGCTCTCGCGTGTTATTCCGACCTTTGTGAGGCAACACGAACATTCACTGAGACAAGCATCGCGGGCTGGTAATTGTTCGACGGGGCTCGACACACGATACGACTGGTGTCGGCAGGAGGACATGCATGCCGAGTTGGACACATCGGACGTTGGACCCACGTCGTAGAGCCGATGTGCGCGAGCTCTATGTGCAGTCCCACGGCTTGGTATCCGGACTGGCTTGTCAGGAGAGAGAGAGAGATGGTGGAGGAGAGGAAGAGGTGCCTGGGCTGGCTTGTTGGCAATAGCAGAATGGGTGTCGCCCCCGCGCAGGGTTCTTCGATCGTGGACGTGATCCCCTCTGGCTACATCTTGCCCCCCGAAGCCGTGATAGCCTTTCGATCGAATAGCAAGTCCTCTCCGTAGGTAGTGCACAGTAACGTGAGTCTAGCCAAGTTGAAGCTCGTCACCCGTATGAAGTCTGGGGCAAGCAGTGGAGATCGATGGGCGGTTAGATGAGCGAAGGACGAGTGCATCCACGCACATGTCAAGATGGGTAGATATTAGTGTAGGAACTGTAATATATAATCTCAATCTGACGTCGTGTAGACGGAGGACTAATGTATGTACCTGTAATATATAACTAGAGAGCTGTAAGTAATAGATCGCGTGGAATGAAGGATATACGCACTCTCAATCCGACGTCGTGTAGACGGAGGACTGAGGTGCGCTGGCGACGATGTAAAACATATCATACCGCGAGTTACCTAATTTAGAGAGATGGTAAACAAGATAAGGAACGAGTAGGCTAAGTAGCTAATAGTGTCCGTTTGTATTACCGACTTCACAATCCATTTACTTCGACAGTTAGAGTATAGGTGAGCGTGCGTCCGTTCACCGTACCTGTCCATAGAGGCTTAAAGTCCCCCTGGCACGCGGCGCTTTTACATCAGCCGCTCCTCCCGCCCGATCTGCTTCTTTGCCCGCTCTTTTTGATCCGTTGTCTCCACTTCATGCTAGCCAAACTTAACCAGTTGCGCTAATGCGGATATACCTTCCACTGGCAAGAGAAGCCTCATAATACCTCTGAGGGAGGGGTGTTCGATCACTATAACAACTAGGCGACTTCGGACGGGACGCTGGACAAGTGGTCCATAGGTGTTAGTAAGCGTCTCAACCACGTAATCTCTTTCGCGTCCCGGCCTGCCTCAGTTTTGAATCTCAGCAGTAAATATCCACTCAGCACAATTTGGTAGGTAATAGATGTTGAGCTTCTTGATGGATGCTGCGGACCTATATGGTGCCCAGGCTGTCACAAATATCATCAGGTCATCGTGTCAATGAGACATCTCCAACATCTTCCCAGATTATCAGGTTGTGGGAATTTGCGCTCTTCGCGATGTACTCAAGGTTCATCATTCCAGCTGAATCCAGCACACCTGGCCGTCTCGGTGAATGGTTGAAGTAGACGTGGCCTCGCCATGCACTCATTTGCAAAACCCCTGATACTCGACCTGAACCTGAATGCTAGGCCCTGTTTGATGCACCGCTCACACTAAATAATCACAAGACCATCATTGTGGCGAGATTTCTCTGATGCGGGCGAAAGGTCTTCTGTCGCCGGTCCAGCTATCAGCTACATTGCCAGCTGTTCGGATACTGCGCTCTGGCACCACAGTGCAAACATTTCCCAGTCGTATTCACCTCGCCATGATTTTCAAACCGCTGTACCCTGAGGTCTCGCCTCTGGCTGACCAGAACGTGCACGACTTCCTGTTTAACGAGCCTGCACGCACACCTGATACTGACTACCCCATCCATATCGACGCGCTCACAGGTGAAAGGAGGACTCGCAGTGAGTTTGTTGAACGCGTTCGCGATGGTGCTACCGCCCTTGTCGCGCCCTCCTCTTCCGGCGGCTTCGAGATCGGGCCTAACGAGCATGTCGGCATTCTGAGCTACAACAGTCTCGTATGTGGTCGCATAATGTAAAGTATTTGTGTTTATCATTGACAATTTCATATAGGACTATCCTGCCCTGATGCATTCGCTATTGGTGGTGACGGTCCCGTTCGCCCTCCTCTCTGCGTACTCGACGACGCCATATGAGATCTCATATGCGGCGAAGTCAGCAAAAGTCACTCGTATCTTCGTCGAGCCTGGTCTCCTACAGGTGGCGTTGGAGGCCGCGGAGGAAGCTGGAATCTCCGAAGAACGCGTTCATATCTTGGGTAGCCCTGTCGTAGGAAAAAAAAGCTATGGAGAGGCTATAGATGAAGTCAGGGCGCGACAACTGCCCAGAATCTCCGTGAAGCCCGCGAAGAAGGACACCGTCGCCTACTTTGTATTCTCCAGCGGGACGACAGGGTCTCCGAAGGGTCAGTCTGCTCGGCTAACGAGACCCCGATGGATAGCTGACAGCCTCCATTCACAGTCGTCATGCTCACACACGGTAACGTGTGCTTCTCATTAGTACAAGGTGAGATGATCGCGAAGGAGGAGCCTCCTGTGCCGAAGGCAAGTATCAGACCTCCTCAGAATGCAAAACAGATCGAGTTAACAACACACTCTAGGGTGTGACCGTAGTCGTCCTGGCACCTTTGCCCATGTCACACACGTATGGAATGGGGCTTATCTGCTTCCGCGGCTTCCAGTCGCCCACAAGCCTAATTATCATTCCCCAGTGGGACCTCAAGCTCGTACTCGAGATAATTCCTAAGTGTGTTTAAATTCAGTCTCCATCTTTTCACGCTACTAATAAGACGATTTGTAGATATCGCGTAAATGTGATGCACATGCGCCCGAGCCAGTTGCACGAGCTTGCGCATTCCAAAGACCTCAAGAAGGAGTCTTTTGCCTCCGTCATGGTCATCGGTAGTGGATCTGCCTATCTTCCGCCAGGTATTGCTCTAGCTCTACAACAGGCAATCAGACCAGGACTACCCGTTGTTCAAGGTACAGCCTCACATCCCACACGTGTCATTCGGTTACTTCTGCTTATATCAATTTCTAGGCTTTGGGATGTCTGAGATTGCAAGCATTGCACTTCGAATGCTCCCACCCTCCGCCTTTGGCGGACGCGTCCCGCCCGACTTCAACACGGCAGGGTTACTGCTTGCAGGACTCGAGGCGCGCATTGTGCTCTCGGACGGTTCTGATGGAGGCGTAGATGAAATCGGGGAGCTATGGCTCCGCGGGCCCAACATCTCCCTTGGGTACTACGGTGACGAAGCGGCAACCAAGTATGCGTTCACTGAGGATGGCTGGCTCAGAACAGGAGACCACTTCAGGATTGATCAATATGGCAGATTTTTGTAAGTTGCGATCTCGGTGTGAATCCAAGAGTTGATGCAAACGTGCTCACGCCTTCGTAGCTTTATCGATAGAATGAAGGTGCGAACTTCTGTGTACGTATGGAGCTAGCTAATGAGTTTACGTTGCTATAGGAAATTTTCAAGATATCTGATTTTCAGGTTTCACCAACAGAGATCGAAGATGTGCTCCGTGCCCAGCCTGAAAAGCTCATCACAGACGTCGGCGTTGTCGGTATTCCAGCCTCCGGTAACGATAATGGTGCTGTGGCAGGCGAGTGCATCCCGAGGGCCTGGATAGTTCTTAGCCCAGAAGGCGAGCGACGTGGCGTGGAAGCCGTGATCAAGGTGCTCGATGAGTGGACCAAGCAGAAGCTAACTCGGTATAAGTGGATCACTGGCGGGTTTGAGGTGACTGATCAGGCATGTATATTTGACGTGCTCTTTGTGGTATTTGTTTCACTAATGCATACTACTGGTAATTACTCCTTGGACGCGCAGATACCGATGTCAGCGGCGGGGAAAATGTCCCGCAAGACGCTGCTGGAGCGCTTTATGACTCAACGAGGATAGATAGCGTGAGACACTATCCGAGTGAGAGATTTAGTTTCGTGGCCGTTCATGCAGAAACAATGTCCCTAGGCTATGATGGGGTTCAATGTTGCGGTGCTGTATGTATGATGTGTGTCGTGTATATTTTTCTTGTATTCTCGTATCGGGATATGGAGATCAACTATTCCGTGCGGCCATTGATGCTCAACACAGTCTGACTGATTACTGCCCTTAATGGCGATACAATGATGAAGCGAAGCCATGGAAACGTGAACGGGAGATCATGAGTCTATCGAGCCTTCACGTTCTTGCTTGTAATCATATGGCACTATAGCGGATTCCGGGACTTTCTCTCCATGTATTTATTCTTTAATGTCCGCGAAGCCAGCTGGAATGTAGTTAGTAAATACGACGTCCACGTTAAGTACTACTAGTACAGATATTGCCTAGTGAGTGGTGGGTGACAAATTTTAACACGAGTATGATGGACTAGTGGTCTGTGGATCACACGCTGATACTGGTACTCCGGACGTGGCGGGTCCGCAAATTCGGGTTTCGGCCATCGAAGGCAAGGAATGCAGATCTAATCCTCTCGTGGAAAATTCACGCCTGATTGTATAAAATGATGATGTCCAGATAATCAACAGACTGAGTAATCAAAGTCAATACCAGGCTTCCTCGGCCCAAGCAATCTTTGCCCACGGCACACTGATCAAGAAGCAACGTGGCATTAATCAAATCGTATATCGTACATGTGCGGTTACATGTACGGTTTATATCATCCTCATATTCACGGCGAGAAGGAAAACCGAAACTGAAGGCAAGACAGCGACCAATTCCCAAGCATCCCGGTGCGCACCTAAGCGATCATATGGAAGTCTGTTGATAGATGTTATCGCATACAATTTCCTTATGAACGCGGATGCCTGCCTGCGGCCGGGTGTGGCTATGGTCGCTATGCACGTCCTCATCTTCGAGACCTTTGGATCCGAATGTAGCTGATCCTTTGAGGGCTCTTCCGCCTGAAGACCGTTCGAAGTCCGTGATGCTCGTCTCAGTGCGAACCTGAAGTTCTAATCGGTTGACAGAGAACGATTCTTCGGCGGACGAGGACCTCATAACGAGCGTGCGGCTATTGAGATTCGTGAGGAGTGTGTTGGCATATCTAAGCAATTTATGTCAGCGACGTTGGAGAAAAATCCGAAGGTAACAGCAACCGTACAACTTGACAAGAACGAGAGCCCTATCGAATAATTAGAACTATATGATTTATATACACTTATTTGATCTTACATGCATTCGAAAACAAGTGTTTGGTTGACCTTGTGCCGATGAGATAAGCATATGTGTAAAACAAGAGAAAGAACGCTTACAGGAGGAACATTTGCAACGATAGCACAAACGATAGCCAGCGTGGCTGAATCTAACATGAGTCATATTCTTCTGGCGAACAGATTGCCATAGCGCTCACCAGTGAGCTTACCGGTTTCAATACCCATACGGACAATGCGGTCAATCATTGCACCAGTACTCTTGATGCCAGTCTTGGAGGAAATTAACTTGGTAATGCGATAGGATCAGTGCATATAACACAAATGACAGATATTTGGAACCACGCACTAAAATTGTCATGGATATCGCGATTACGAGGTCGACGACGCCGCTTGTTACAAGCCAGGTCTTATACCCCAAATTTGTAACGGGCCATCCTGATTTTAACGATACGACTCACGATCAGCTCGGGCTCGGCCAAGCGCGTGGCATCAATAGCGGGAAGACGGTCAAGCTGAGCGAGGACCGTAAGTATTGTTATATAAAGCGAGACAATGACTGCACTACCTTAGCACCGCCCGCCAGGCCAGCACCCGATTGAAGGAGGCTCAGCTAAACATTAAAATGAAAATCATGGACGCGAGTGTTTGTAATTTTATTGACATACTAAGATAATACCTCCCGCTAACAATTTGAGTTTAGACAGAATGTAGATACGCCAGGCAAAGAATATCTGTACCACGGCGGATACAATGGCTCCCATGACAGGGACCGCAAACCAGGTGTACTCAAAGCCGATTACAGCTTCCGGGTTGCCGTAGTTATATAAGTAGACACGGAAGAATGAGGCGGTGATCAGACCGGTTTCGATCCACTCGTAGACAAGCAAGATATATACTGGAGCAACAAGAGTGAGGCTAGAAGAATCAAAGGATACTCGCAGTGGATCTTACCCATGCACTTGAAGAACAGCGGATCACGCGGAAACGAAACGGCATAAAGATCTAAGGGAAATGGCTCAGGAGTTCGAATTTTTGTAAAAAAACAGGGCAGGTAATACTTACACACTTGCATGTTGAGCACTCCGAGCAGTCCCCAATTGAAGAGGGTGCCTAGGATCTGAAATTCGCCTATTATGAAGTCCGTAGCCGTACTCTGGCTGAAATGTATTAGACAGACCTGCGGCCCAATGCTACCGACCGAAACAATAATCAGAGCACAACTTTCCCAGTACATCTGTGGCTACTCACAGTAGAGCAAGTGACGGTGGCATTGGGATTATGTGAGGGACTGGGCGCGGGAGAGCACAGACACAAGTTCAACGGGTGAAAGGGAGTTGCGAGATATAAAAACGAGAGTGTGAAAGTAGCTGGAGCTTTGTGGCGGTCTATTCATTCGGCCAGATGTAGAGAAATAGACCGTCTGATCTGTCAAACCCATTGGCACAGTCTGTAGTCATCGATTCTACCCTAGCATAAGTTGATATGTTCATATCCACAAATAGAAGAGATAAGCCCGAGACGCTACCGTCAGAAGTTCTTTTCAGGCGGCCTCACCACCAATTTCATCAGATGGTCTTGGCCTTGTCACGACTCTAACGACCACTTGCCTCCGCAGATGCTCATCATTTTTACGGAGTTGGTAGATAGACAACCGGTAACTCATAAAATCAGTATTGCCTGTCAGAAAGAGCAGATGATACGGCAAAGATCCTGTGGCCTGAAGAGCTTCTAGATCGTCAAAGGGACCGGACCATTCTCGTGCCCAATATCCGGACCAGCTCTGATAGGTCTTGTCTCGTACCTACCCGTATATGTCCTCGGTGCGCCTGGGGCTGATACTAGACTCGACTAAGGCTTGTTCGGCAAATGCCGGATGGTTTCTGCGGCGTCCATGAATTCACAGTTCAACGCCGCCCGCGTCCTGGCGAACCGCTGCATAACGCGAAGCGGCCATTTGGTTTGCGACTTTCTCCTTTCTCTCTTGCAACTTGCTGAAGACACCATTAGCGTAATACATGTCTTCTTCAAAAGCACTCTGAACCAAACTATTACACTTGCGTCATGTCAAAGGAAGAGGTTTGTGGATGAACATTCTTTGCTTAGAGATCAATACAGTACTCATTGATTTTTCCTCTGTTATGTGAAAATGATGCCAACTGTCTCATTTTTTCCGCCACATGCGGTCCCAAGCTAGACAACTATGTCCTGGTAGGCTACTTCCCAGCAATCGCATGGCAAGTATGCCACTCCACCGGTGCGCCGTCGTGCAGTTGTAATGCAAGAACCATCTTACACGCACATAACTCTAGAACCTCAGCTTTCACCTCCGCTGTCACCTGTTGTTTGTGATGCGATGTCTCCGCGGCATGCAAGTGTAAGTCTTTCCCTTGGTACTTTCTGGCCAGTGCCTCTTCAGTTCTGATGTAGATGTCGTATCCGTCTAGTGTAGCTTGATCATTATGATGAATGTGCTGTAAGCACAAGATGGCTCCACGTAGTGTGGCATCTAAGTAGCTTCCTTGTATTCGGGACTTTTCTCTTTGGTACTTAAGAATAGCATGAATCCTCCTCCGACTCGAAAGTTCACGAATATTCTCATATCTGTGCTGAGGGTTAGAAATCGTACGCTTACTCTCCTGTATCATGTCCGTTGATGATAATGGGATTCAGATTGCAATCGTGCGTTTGTCCCTGATCGCTTTACACTTACTTGACTTTTGACGGATATATTCCTGCTAGGTGGGCATCGCTGCCGAACTTCCAAGCGGAGCACATAGCACAACAAATCTCGACTATCAGTCTTTCTTCCAGTTCCTCCTCGAAAAACGCGAGGCCTATGAAAAGATACCTCCTGAAAGGTTCAACATTGAGCAGTGAGGGATTTTTTTGAACTAAGAGCTATCTTTATATACAAACACACCTGCAATATTTCTCTGCCCAGTCTCCGCGGTGATGGACTCGGACACATAGTATCCGACACGGGTACATTTCTTAAGGATGTCCACCTCCTAGACTATCTCGAGTTCGGGATCACGAGCAAAGATGCACGCTTTATGCCACTCAGCACACGGCGTCTACTCGAGACAACGTTTCTTGCGCTGCTAGACTCTGGGATCGACTACCGCGGGAGGAACGTAGGGTGCTATATGTCAGGTATTGCCCACGATATGATTACTGTTTCAGGACATGCACGAGCCCTCTTTATTTCTTTCCGTCCAATCTCAATATTTATTTCTCAGGATGACGGTGAAGCGCGTGGAACATTCGTTGGCGGCCCTGCGATGGTCGCAAACCGCATCTCGTATCACCTTGACCTGCGAGGGCCATCCGTTCCCGTTGACACTGCATGTAGCTCAAGCTTGTATGCGACTCACCTCGCAACGCAGGCTCTCCGCAACGAAGAATGCGAAGCTGTCGTTGTGGGTGGATGTCAGATCAATCACAGGTATGTGCTAAGTACGCCGTTTGAGGATTGAAACACTCAAACGTTTTGTAGGTTTGCGGAGTGGTTAATGTATAGTCAGGGTGGAATTTTATCCCGTGACGGCAAGTGCAAGCCATTCGATGCATCCGCAGATGGGTACGTTCGCGAAATCTGTATATGCCTTCATCAGTACATACTCTGTTATAGCTTCGGGCGAGGAGAAGGCGTCGTATCGATTGTCTTGAAGCCGCTGGATGCGGCGCTACGCGATAACGATCATATCTACGGAACGGTAATTAGGGCCCACGAGGCTTAGGACACGGCGGCTAACAATTGTGAGTCAGATATTGGGCACGAGAATAAATTCTTCCGGATCCCTTGCTCCAGTCAATGCGCCAGTCGCTTCTGCACAGCAAGATGCAATGATGCGTGCATTTTCTCAGGCTCAAAGGCGTCCCCACGATGTTGATTTCGTTGAACTGCATGCTACAGGTACGCCGGGTGTTTGTCAAATTCGGAATAATACCGACTACGGTTTGTGTAGGGACTGCTCAAGGTGATCCAACTGAAGCGAACTGGGTCGGTGCCCAGTTCAAGCGAGACGATGAAACATTAGTGGGAAGTGTCAAAGGAAACGTCGGGTGCGGCCACCATTCATTCCTAGATTGTTCAGAGCTAACGTCGACACTAGCCATCTGGAAATTACTGCGTTCCTCGCCTCCCTCTGCAAAGTTTGTTCCATATTTCGCACCAGTGTCGTCCCGCCCAACGTAAATTTTCTACGTCCTAATCCTGCCATCAATTGGGAAGAGCACAAACTGCGCGTTCCAAAGGACCCGGAGCTGCTTGTCTCTCGGAATCCGTCGGGTCGTCTTCTGGTTGCGATGGCCAGTTCTGGAATCGGCGGAGCGAATGGGCACTGTGTCGTTGAGGGCCCGCCATCCACACGGAGAATACCATCGTCTTTGTGGCGATCCAGCGCCCTCGGGCAGTCTTTAATAATTGCCGCTGGGCTGTCGCCTCGCTCTGTTACAGCCATGGAAGACGATCTAGAAGAGCTCATTACGAAGGAGGATGCTAATATTGTCTCACGAATATACGGTCGTAGGTCAAGGTCTTTGACATGGCGCTCTTTCGCCATTGCCCAGGGCAGTAAACTATCCCGATTTAGTGAGCCAATGTTTGTCCCAAAGTCTGCACCTCCGGTTGTATATGTCTTCTCGGGGCAAGGTCCCCAACACTTCGACAGTACGTTTAGCCTTTCATCCAGTGTTGCGATTCCGTCCTGATTCTCGTCCGTATAGTGGGGCGCGATCTCTACAGAACATCGGCCGTGTTTCGCGCGACGGTCGGGGAAATGGACAACATCTATCGTAGCATCATGGGATCGTCTCTGGTCGATCAGACAGGCCTCTTTGAGGACGAAAAATCCTCCAATAATTTAGGCAGCATATGGCCGATAAAGGTCACCCTCCCGGCCTTAGCTATGCTCCAAATTGCTCTTGTTGACACGTTGTCGAGCTTGAACATAAAACCCGATGTTGTCATCGGCCATTCCGCAGGCGATACCGCAGTAATGTATGCATCTGGTACATGGCCTGCAGCTCTGGCCATGGAGGTTGCAATAGCGAGAGGGAGGGCCATGTCCTTGCTTGAAGATCGTAACGGTGCGATGGTTGCACTCGCATGCTCTCCCCAGAAGGCCGAAGAAGTGATAAATGAAATTCTCTCTGACGCAGGACCAGGACCTCTGTCCATTGGGTGTTACAATAGTCCTGATGCTGTAACTCTCTCTGGAGCCAACTCTCATCTCGATCTCGCTGTCAACAAAGCAGCTACTTATGGGATCTTTGCCAGGCGCCTCCGTACTTGTATCCCGGTTCAGATATGATGGATCTTTGTCGGGAACAATACGAGGTTTTATTAGCGGAGGTCTTTGCAAGATATTCTCTCACATATCCGACAATCGAGACGTATTCCACGATGACCGGTGCCTTGCACGAATATGCATTCGATGCGTCATACTTCTGGGATAGCGCGCGTAACCCGTCCACTTCGACAAAAGCTGCATTAGGATATTTCGCCAAAATGGCCTCCACAGCAGATGTGAAGTTGGCCCTCACCCAGTCCTAATGAGTTATTTGACGTCAATGGTCGGAAAGCGGAGTGCAAACGTAATCCATACCCTCAGGCGACCAAAAGTACGAGAGCCTGGCGTCGAACTGTTGAGCTTTATGGAGTGTCTTGGAAAGCTAGTCGTTCACGGCTGCAGTACCATTAATTTCGACGCTTTATGCGGAGTCGTCGAGGCAAGCGAAGGATCTATACCTGGATATCCCTTTTCTCGAAAGGACGTCCCTTATCTTGCACACACATACCATGTTGCACGAATGAAGCAAGCCCGCAATGGCCCATTGAACTACCCACAACTACAAATCAATGTGAGGACACACCCTGACCTAGCGGATCACGTCATCAAGGACGAGCCAATTATGCCAGCGACGGGTTATATTGAAATGGCAAGTCTCTTGGAGTGGGAATTGTCAATCATTTCGCTTATCTTTATTGTAGGTCCTCGAGTTCGGTGCAAGAAAGCTCTGGAATGTCGAATTCGTTTCTTTCCTCGCACTCTCATCTGAACGTCCTACCCCTGTTCACGTTGGACTTGAGGGTCCGCGATGGACAGTGCAGAGCGCGTCGCCAATGGCGTCGCCAATGAATTTCGCAAACGACTGGCCACCAAAAGTAGAGTAGACTTACCCGTTATATGCGTGTTCTCATCTTCCAGTACGACCGTCTTCATGCAAGGGGATACATGTCGAAAACGTATGAAGCTGAGGATGAGCGACCACCTGTGAATCTCGTTGACCTTCGTAAGCGACTCAAACCTGTCGACATGAAAGGTGGGCTCTTGTGTTTTCCGCGTCGAGCACGAGACTCATTGTTGGACAGATTTCTATGACGGATTCACGAGCTTCGCCTCATATGGTCCTGTGTATCAAAGAGTGGTCGCGTGCAGCCGAGGTATGGATACATCTGAACGGGAAGAATTTTTGATGCAGGTGAGAGGTGCTGAGGATGATCTTCAGAAGTAAGCCACTTACTACGATTGCTCCATCTCCGCTAACTCCCCCATGACCTTATAGCGTGGATCGATACCACATACACCCAGCCATACTAGACGCTGCGCTGCATGGCTTGGTTCATCCTGCACTTACTGGACACAAGAATGATCCTCGATACTTTCTTCCGTCCAAGACGGCTGCATTCATTTTTCACGATGCGTTGGTCAAAAGGCCATTCCCACGGATCGTCTACACTTATTTCACCATTACAAAGTGGGCTCCAGGTATGATCATGATCCATGATCCTCGTCCATTTCTCACCACTCTCCAGAGTCTGTTGCTTGTGACGTCATATTGTTGGATGAAGAGGGTACGCGGCTGTGCACCTTCGACAGGTTTGAGAAAGCTCGACATGGCCAATTCGCCGGAGAAGTGAAGCGCCGATATGAACTTAAACATCACCCTACCAGCCTCACAATACCGCGCCGAGACACTGACAGCAAGACCATCATCAGTTCGGGCAGTGATTGCTTCTTAGATACTCCCGCGTTGCTTCGATGGAAAACTCGCGGGCGAACTGTCTCTCGAGGAAACATGTCCGACAGCGGATACAGCACCTTCTCTGATACAGATTCAAATATGTCATCTCACAGCGCCGTGTCGTATCTTCTGTTCCAGTACGTCAGGGGCAGGGAGATGAAATTAAAACCCCTCATTACTGCCCTGGATCCGCTAGACAAACTTAAAATCTGGTTCACTGCGTCTGCGGGATTAGATGGCGATGCTGGTATTGGATTTACCAAGTCTCTGAGAAGAGAATATCGGAATTGGGTCATCAGAATGGTTGTGTTTGAGGCTTCCTGGACTGCAGAGGAGCGAAAAGAGGCTATCAAGTATTTGTCTTTGCATTCCGAGTGCGAAGTCGAGATTATGGTCGACTCTCGCAGATCTGTTTTTGCGCCGCGAATCGTCATGGCGATGCCGCCCCTTTCAAAGCCTGCTTTTCGCGTAGATTCCCCTTGGATCTTTGATCAGTCTTCCGTCAAGCAGACTGTACTACCCTACATCCTAGGAGGATCGATTCTTATCCATGTCGATCGCTTAGCGAGGGGTCCTGGTCAGTTGTGGACATACTTTGGGAGCACGGAACATGTCGCTGGTACAGTTATTGGTATCGCATCGGGGCCGATCTCCAATTTTGTGCTCTCTCGCAAGGAGAGCTTGGTCGAGCATCCTCATTCTACAATGTCGAAGTCCACGCCTCCCCTTCTTGCAATTACAATCGCCGCTCTTGCTCTCGGGCCCGGAACCTTCTCTCAGCCGGAGCGCCTCTTTGGCGAAGCTATCCTTGTGACGGACGTAGACACCAAGCTAGGGAGTCAGATTGCCAGCATATATGTAGAGAGGGGGTTCAGTGTTCTTACATTGCCAGCCAACATCAGATTCCCGGATCTCCTCGCCCTGCCTCGACGGCCTCGATTCATAATCTCCGGATCGGAAGATATAGTGATGGTCCAGATGCTGAGAGATTTGGTATCCGGATTTGGCAAGATCTTCTTGTGGAACGACGGTGACACGGGTGTTGCGGGGATCCTGAACACTGACCCATGGGTCGTCGCGGATGCTCTCAAATGCGGGATTTCCGTGGCTACATCAAACGAAAAGTTCCGTTCTCCACATGAACTACTGGGCGAAGTTCCGATGCCCTTTAGAATCCCGCTAACTGATGGTGCTTTTGATCCAAAGAAATCATATCTCCATGTCGGTGGTATTGGAAGTCTTGGCTTCCGAATCGCGCTATGGATGTATGAGGTGCGTCCAAGGTCGATTAAGTTCCCAGTTATCTAAATGTATGTTTACAGAAAGGCGCAAGGGAGATAGTCTTAACGTCAAGGTCCGGGCGCGAAAGTACCCTCAGAAGAGATGAGTTTGTCTGCCAGCGCGTAATGGTTTACCTGGAGAGTTTGCCCGATCTCGTTCTGAGAGTGGAGGCGGTAGACGCTTTATCTACCGAGGAGATGAAGCAGCTCGTCGGTAATCTTGGGCGTCCGCTGGGAGGCTGCATGGTTCTTACTGCAATCCTCATTGATCGCACGTTTGCCTCGCAGACGCCCGAGACATTTGAAGCGCCCATCACAGCCAAGGTCAATGTCCTGAGGAACATCGAGAAAGTAATCTCAATTGCTTCCTTGGACTTCCTGATCGCTTTTTCGTCAGTGTGTGGATTGTTCGGCAATGCATGTCAGACAAACTATGCGTGGTGAGTGGTATAGAGTGCTATCGCGCGCTTAGCTCACGGTTCCATAGTGCGAATACCGCTTTGACAGGTCTTTTGCGGAAATACGAGAATGCAACAACGGTTGCTGTACCATTCATCTTTGACGCTTGTTATCAGATCTATATCTCATCATCAGACACTTTGCGATGGACGCGAATGAAACACCTTATGAGCTGGAGTATGTCGAGCATAGGTACGTCTCCATGAAGTTATATTATCGCTATTCCTTTATATGATGCATACTATTGTATGTAGAACTATGTGGTTACATTGAGGACAGTATTAGAAAGCTGCGCGAAGGTCCCATCTGGCAGTACATTCCGGATCTTGACTGGAATCTCGTACGAGCAGATCTTGGGCCATCCTCAATGTACGATGACCTATGTATATCGGATGGTTCATTCACGGAAGCTACATCAGCAGATCAAACAGGAAGCAGCTTACGCGAGATCGTATGTAAAACACTCGATGTCGCTCCTAAGGACCTTGCTGTAGATGTTACCCTGACATCTTATGGCTTGGACTCCCTCACAGCCGCATCACTCTCCTACGCGTTGAGCTCCTCCGTAGCTGTGTCGCAGATACAACTTCTCGCGGACTTGACATTGGGTGACCTCGAGCGTCGAGTGGAGGAAGCGGGTCAAGCTGGCGCATGTGGTACAACCGAAGAGTCCGCAGACATAGACCACGATCGCTTCCAAACGAAGGTCGTTGAGATGCTCGATATGGTTGACACCTACACCACAGGCCTTCCTGGACGCCCCTCCGTTGATGCAAGCCTAGCCGAGTGTCGCAAGACGGTTCTCATCACCGGCACGACCGGCAGCCTTGGTGTTCATATGCTCGCCCATCTTTTGCAGTCAGGCGAAAGTGAGAAACTTTATGCCCTGGATAGGAAACGGGTTGGCGTCTCTAGTATGAGTAGACAAATCAATGCCTTTACGGCGCGGGCATTGGATTGCTCCCTGTTAATCACCAAACGACTCGTTCTTTTAGACGGTGATCTAGCTAAACCTTTGCTTGGATTGGAAGCATCTGAATACGAGGAGGTATGTAGTTTTTTATGTTGTCCTGTCCTAATTTTCTCAATGCATCTTACATCCAGCTTCGAGCATCGATCACTCATACTGTGCACCTCGGTAAGCAGAACATCATGTAATGCTCGGCCCCTTCACTAAAATGTGTATCTTCAGCGTGGCCAATCGACCTTACATCTTCCCTGGCGGCATTCGAGCCATCAATACATGGTCTCCGACGACTTATCGACTTGTCTTCGTGTGCTTCAATTCACGCACCAGTCAAACTGATATTCGCAAGTAGTACAGGACTATACCGGAGTAAGTTATTTTCCGGTCTGGAGTTGTGGGTTCTCATCCAAGTTCTTTCAGGGATCGACACCTTAAGAAAAATTTATTGATGATCCAATAGTCGCGATTGACTCAGGATACACAGAATCCAAATGGGTTTCGGAGCAGGTCCTTGCAGTAGCCATGAAGCAGAATCTAGTCCACCCTATTATTGTACGGATCTCGCAGCTATGCGGTGGTCAAAACGGCGCATGGAAAATGACAGAATGGGTGCCATGCCTCGTCGCTGCGAGCTACGCTATGGGTTGTTTGCCGGATGCGGTCGGAGTACGTCTCTTGGCTTCCATGTATTTTCTTCCGCTGAAATATCATCTCCCTCTCACAGAACGTGTCTTGGATGCCAGTGGACATCGCCGCCGCCGCACTGGTCGAGATGCTTGACTCTTCTTGCCCTGTTCTGCATCTGCGTCATCCACTGCCCGTGCAGTGGTCGTGTATAATGGGTCATTTTTCCTCCATGCTGTGCCTACCGCTCGTACCATACGCAGAATGGGTTTTAAAACTGGAGCGGAGCATGGCTGATGCAGAAAAAGCGCGGTCGCCGCTCTTACAATCTGCCATCCGTCTGCTGGAGGTTCTCCGTGCCGGGAGTGACCCGGACTGTCAGAACCGTGCGGGCGGCGAGATAGGGGGTGGGAAGCCAATCGTAGTCGAGCTCGAGGAAGCGCAGAATGCAAGCAAGACACTGAGGGAATACATACAGCAGCCGGGTGAGGAGGACGCGAGGCGGTGGGTTACATGGTGGAGGATGGAGGGGCATTTACCAAGTGCTCGATGTCTGTCTTAGGACTGAACTTAATGTTAGATTTGGACAGTCGCAGAAACAGCTTCATTATTCACACATTGGTTTCGTGGTAGCATTGAAACTTTGCATGATGTTCCTCAGTAAGACGGACGGAAATAATAAATTGGAGTGAGGTCTGCATCGAAGTCTGACTCGTCTTATTGGTCCTCCTCACAGTATGCTATATAGGATAAAACACATACTACAGGGTGCAACTAGACGATCTTGCGAGCTCTTCCAGTGAAACACGCTATCACACTCCTTCTCTACCTGATTCTGCATATCTTCAGCATTCTCGGAGAATGGTTGTACATTGCGGGTTCGAAAGGAAAGCAATTAATTCGAATACGATAGATACTTGATACGGAGCTCTACTTCTTCCGCTGCGATCCGAATCGCCCCCGCAACAATACATCCTTTTGCGGCGTGTATATCAACCCTGTATGTCAACCCTGTATTAGATCCTAAAAGGATATTTCGAGGTGTAAGCTGCCCAAAGGAATTGCCATATTACCATCGGCGACAGTATGTTACGAATATGTTTATGTGTGAGTCTGAAAATCATAGCACGATAGCGGAGGGGACTGGAGATGCGAGGAGCAAGTACGTCAATCGCTCTACATTAGTCGGATGTGTGAGCAGTGATGTCACTCATCGCTCACTGATGATCTAGAGTCTAGCTGTATTGCGTCTGTAGTACGTACAGCACTTACGGTGGCGGGCGCGCAGGGCATCCACAAGGTCGTTACGGAATGAATCGATCGCGATTGCTGTACTGGATTTGAGCGCAGCATGGCCAAGCCTGAGCGCTGTTGACGACGTATCTGCTCAAGCCCATTGACGAACAATTTGTAAAAGTATCATACAAACAAGACAAGGAGGCTGAATGATTTTGGGTTCCTCAGAGTGGTTGTAGCTACACTCTGCGTCGACGCTTGATTAGTCTTCCTGAGTCATGGGCTCCGTCTATATAGTATAAGTTCATATCCATGGTGGTCAGTTCACAGTGGTAGTCGAAAAGCTACACACTCACGATGATAGGCTTCATATTCCAGGGGCTCGGCTTTGATCCCCTTCAAGTTCATGTTCCCCTGAGATGCCTCAAGAGTTAACAAAACTTGGTCTTGAAGGGAAAGCGGCCATTTTCCATCCTGCTCCCGCCCAACAGCGACACCACTAGGGCTGCTGATCCCCGCAGTGGGAAGTTTTTCACTCATGTCTTCATTTTTGACCTGCGACGAAGTGTTGGTTGCTTTTAAAAGTCGCTCACATCGGTGGGCTCCCGTGTAGGTCTTTTGGCGCAATATAGCAGTCTGAGGCGGCTTCGCTGGTCGGCCGCGCCTGCCTGTTTTTTCCTATAGTCCATACCGAAACAATCAATTTGTGCAACCAAAATGCAACCATGTGTAGCTAACCTTCTTTGGTCTACCAGGCTTTCCTTTGACATTTGGATCTATTTTATTTTGTACTTGATTGTGGAACTGAGCAGAACCCAGTGTAGTCTTATATCCTGCGTGCTGAGCATCATCTGCAAGAACCTATTATAAATAAAGTAGCAATGTGACTCCATTAATTCTCACTGCATTAATGCCACTTACCCCAGAGTAGTCCGGTTGAAAACGCCAATGTGATGGGGGCTTCGCAAGGATGGGAGTGTAAACACAGAATTGACCTTGTTTATACATTAGTACAGGCTGTTCCTTACGACGGTATCTTGTATCGGTCAGTAGTGCTGGATCTGGATCATGATTGTAGTCTTGACCTGAAAAATACAACAATTGCAGACTCAATAGAACCTCACCTGAGGTAATGAAAACGCACCAATTGTATGCTGAGGGTCAAACAGACCAGCCCTTGCCATCCTGTCATTAAGATTCTTTGGAATGCGGACAGCCTGGCGGCGATAGACCCAGACAAAATGAGCAAAATAGTTTCTATTTGACTTGTCATTGAACGTCAGTGGGTTATCAAAATTAGGAACTCCAGCTACAAGGTTGAGAAATGATTTGGAGGCCCACTGTACCATATATGTTACCACAGCATCAAGAAATGAATTAAAAGTCACATCCTGAAGACATATATCTCTCGCTGGAGTGCAAGGATGAAGTCCTTGGCTGTAGAGAAAATCATGTGAGAGATGCCGCCCAAACCCATTCCAACATGACTGCTCTTCACATAGCTGCTTGACCATTGGCACGCATCCAAAGCGATCATTGGATAGCACCTTCGACCTCCAAGAATGCGCTACAACTTTAGCAGATTCAGGTTCGTCGATCCAATCAGGACCATGACCAGAGCCCCACATCAATGCCCACACCTACAGAAACATAATATCAGAAACATCCATAAGGATATAACAGCAAATTTATACCGCTGACACTGGCTGAAAATCATCAGCTTCCCAATGGCGCTCTATACTTATTACACGAAGAGTGATTAAGCGAGCAAAATCCACAAGAGCAAAGACAACATCTGTGCAGACCACGGCGGCAAATATATTGATAAGGCGTGGTGCAGATGCATTGCGCGAGCCTTCTACCACAAAGGGTGAGCCTAGTTGAAAAGATCGAAGCTTCTTCGCTTTGGATGCATTAGCGTTGGGCCCTGGGACATCGTTTTGTATGATTTCATCGAACATATTGCGTTTCATGGGAATAAGGCATGCTTCCAATCCGAAGTTGATGCGTACACCATGCTTGAAATTTTAAAAAAAGGATAAATTGAAAGGATAAATTCAGTTGTACAAGAGAAGTCAAGGACTTACATATCCGCAAGCCAGAAATAACTCTTTTCCTCGGGCCTTTACAATAACCTCCCCATCGTGCAGTGGCTTCAATAGATAACCCCAATCTTTGTTCTGACTCCGGGCTGAGTCATAAGGATTAGATAAATACCCTTCAGGAACCGGTTCCAAACTGTCAGAATACCTGTCATGCAGTGTGGTGCATGTAGTGTATGCCTTTGTATCAGTGCCAGTTGCGAATGTTCTGGGAAATAGGCAAAGATGCCCTAAGGAAAGGGAGACTGCATAAAGGACTTGCTAATAATGCAGTTCAATGAGAGACTCACCTTGCAATGCATGTCCTTCATGTGTTCGCGCGTACTCTTTTATCTCCTTATCGACTACGGAGGCTGTTGCGCGAATGATATCTGCTTCGGGCATTCAGAAGGCGTCGCTAGTAGCTTTCACTGGCAACAACAAAGAGAGCTGGCATGCCGAAAGGCGCCTGTCACAGTCGTGACTTGGGTCACGCAGAGATAATGGAGAAGAAAGGAAAGGATTCAAGATTCAACATGCAATTATTGGTTGCTAATATATTTTAGGAGGCTCAGTACATTGTTAAACGTACTCCTGTAAGTCTATATCTTTGCAAAGTGCTGTTGTGCTGACTTCACAATCCACTCTTGGAGACTCGATGCTGCAGCCACACACGCTCAGCCACCAGTCGGCAATTGCCGATAGTCACACAGGACATCTGAGTCAAGCCAGCCTGGGTCATCTGCACACTGCCCACAGCAGCTCGACCCTGTACGTGCGCGTTGCCCCTAAGTATGTACTGATGCATGATGAGTGCGATCGCTCGCCCTTCTCTCGCTGCTCATGCCCCCGCCCTCCTTGCGCCGCTCACCCCTCCTGCCGCCCACGCCCCCGACCTCCTTGCGCTGCAGCGCAACAGCCCCCCCCTCCAATACTCTCGCGCCGCCCATGTTGACCAGCACGACCGCCCCGCCCTCCCACCGCGTGAGACGGCTCCTCCCCGGTAAGCCCCCCCTCCACGTCCTCGCTCCGCCCTTGCTGACTCGCACAACCGCCCTGCCCTCCTCACGCCGCCCACGTCCCCGCTCTCCTAGCTCGAGTGTTACATCCCCCAGAACGCCTAGTCAATTAGCCAGAGGTCACCCAATCGCCATCAGCGTTCTCCATTGAAGGCCGTCTAGGCATCGTCGACGATGCACTAGCGTTATTGAAGGTGAGCTTGAAAGTGAGCAGCGCGATGTCGGCTATCAATACTCGTTCTAATTCAGCCTCGCCATGATCAGGAAGACCAGGTGTCTTTGAGTTGGTGAGCGGCCCGAATGAGTACGGCGAGGGCGAATACCGACAAGATTGCCAACACGTGCTTTGTCGTTGGAAACTCGTGGACGCATTCCTGGTACGCGTTTTTCACTATTCTATACTCTACGACTAACTTATGTTATCAACAATAACAGTGGTTGGTAGTGATCCTCAAGTGCTTAGAGCGCATGTAGGTTATTCGATCAGCGGATGGGTTATCTGTTTTGCTTGCGGCTTCTGTGTGTGTGTTCCGGATTACTCTTTCCTCCATGTATTCTGATTATTCTTTACTCGATGTTTACAGTGCTTGATATATTGTTGCTCGTTCAGATGAGCGGCTCGCCATTCGACCACCTTAACATCAAGTTGGGTTTCTATGTGATGTCTCTTGCTTTGAACGTTGCCGCTACCTTCTTGATCGCCGGACGATTCCTCGTGTATCGAGCACATGCGATGTGACAGGATCCGAACATGATTCAAGCTACACGGGTTCGCGTTTTCTTTCTTCATCTTTTCCTTTTCTTGATGTCTCTTTCAGACCTTGAATCCGATCCCGCCATCGTTCGCATGCATAAATTGACCGACCTCCATTTCAATGCGGTGCAGTCCGCCGTATCAGAGAATGACAATGGCAAAGCGTTCACGCAGGGAAAAATTACGCATGGACGTGTTATGAGTGGGAATGACATTGTATGAGGGCACTAACTTTTGTGAGATACCAATGTTCCTAGTTCCTGTATGCTCCGTTGATAACAAATGACCGCGAACAAATGCAAACCTTCCCTACGTAGCACGCGGAATCATCCGTGCCCAATCTACAGAATACGCCATATGGAAACGTCTGCTGCTATGTAGCCCTGTCTGCACGCCCGCCCGGCATAATAAGCAGATTCCATGATGGCGCAACAGAAGCGCTTCTTCATTGTACCGGGTTGTCAACGGGAATCCATCCAGCATCAAAACAGTACAAACAAAATGTTGCATCTAAGTAGCACATAAGATCGCAATCTGCTCACGCCGGCATCGAATGACATACATAAAGCACAGTTAAGTATACAGCTGGTAGTAAGTTATACATTTGTGTCTATGTTCAGGACAGACTTGTGCTGGGAGCATAATTTACACGCTGGATTCCACAAGGTGGAACCAAAACGACACGCCTTGCAGGACATGCACTTGTGTCGTGCCCAAAGTCCATGACACCAACCCACATCACCTACACGACCGCGCTGCCGTGACCACGAACTGGTGAGACATTGAATATGCATCTAGTTGACCTGCTTACTTTGTTCATCTAGATCCATGGACGTCTGCGTCTTTACCCACCACTCTTTCTACATCTCGTGAAGCATTTCTAAGCGGATGTCCTCTTGCTTTAGATGCTCATCTTGGGGCTGGAAGAATGTCTTCATCGAAGTCTCGCTATATAAGAATTGTGTTTCTCCCTGAACTGCGTGATAGTGCCATGTTCGGGTTGAATAGCGACAAGCGTCCGCCTGGAGGTATTGCTATATCAACCATGACAATCACGGTGGATTTTCTTTGTGATCGGTCATCCGTAAACGCATACGCTGGGGTAATCGGAAACTGCGTACGATATATGGTATGCTTCGATTTGCTTCCTCCTTCCAGCATCTCAACCCCGAACACTCTTGTGAGAGGTTTGATAGGAATGATGCTCTCTTCTAAGCCTTCTGGCAGTGGTATTCTCTTCCCATCCAGTATCACAAGAACATTAGCTGATGGTTGGGTTAGTCGTATAACCTGCCCATCAGGTAACGCCGGTTCATCGAAATGTAAAGCAATGTTGACAATCTCTCCTCTCGCACCATTGGTTATATCAGGGTCAGTCTGAACATTAATGGTTACCATACCTTTCATGCCAATCGTGAACCGTACTTCGTCTGAGAGCGCTGCAAGATCGCAGCTATTGGGTTTTGCCTTGAACGCGCACGCAAGACGTGTTCATCACCCATGTCGTATGCTGGGGTAATAACTAGCTTGCGCCTGGTCTTACGACAGTGCTGCAGAACACTTTCGTTGTTCCACACAATCCGTACTGAATGTCGTAATGTCACAATTGAGGTCTCTTTCCATAGGGCAATACGAAAAACTGTCTCAGCACCTTGCTCTTCTGTAAGCGCAACTGTTTTCGACATATTGACATTGTCAACTGTAAATTACCCTCTACACAGATTACGAAGAAACTGTAGCCATATCAAGTCCGTAACGCACACTTGGTTCTTCAACAGCACCACTGTTTTGAATGCCTCATAAATCTTGCTCCCTAGTGCGTCGTCGATTGTATCCCGGTTTATCAGGTTTGCACGATAGTACAAAGACATACCTAGGCTTGTCGAAAACGTCTAACACGCCGAGTAGGAGGTCGTGCTGACCCATGGATGCCACACAGATGCATTTTGGGCATGGTGCATAGGTTCAACCGCCCTCCATAAATTCGGCCCAAATTGGAGTGAAGGGTTGCTAGGTTCAATCTGTCGCTGGCATGATCCGATGAGGTTCACTAGACCAGCGTTCAGAAAGGTAGGTGTTATGCACTTTGGTCATCTCGAATGAGCCCACAACGGACCTAGGACATTTCAGTCAAGCCAAGGTCAAGGTCTGCATGCTGGCCACAACCATCTGAGTAAAGGTTTTGCCGCAGCATGTGGCGCTATTCGAGTCAATCCTTTCTACTACAGCGCAAATAACGATAAATTCACCTCTGTGACGAGAGAAGCCTAGTGAAATAATATCTGGATGGAATGAGTGCGTATACTTCTATTCTGGCAAGCTCCAGCATGCTCACGATGATGTATCACATCCTTCTGTATCATATCGTTCTTACTTGGTAAGTAAGGTTCTCACGTTGTCTTATCTCCCTTCATTACAGTGCTCTGTATCTCCTCAGGCCAGCTCACGAGATGCATGATGATATCGCAGAAGTATAATGTAGTTCTTACTTGGTAAGTAAGGTTCTCGCACTGTCTTATCTCCCTTTATTACAGCGCTCTATATCCCCACAGGCCAGCTCACGAGACACATGGTGATATCGCAGAAGCCATTTTTTAAAGCCATGCACCTTCTGTGTTGTATCATGGTGGGAAAGTATTGCTGGGCATGCGTAACTTCTCAAATTGTCCCAGCAAAAATATGAAAAATGCGTGCCCCCTTTCATCTTGTGCCATTGTTTCTTTCAACATGAAGTCCCCCTTGGCAGACAGGATTTGCGTAGTCGGCGCAGGCCCCGCCGGCCTCATTACTGCGTACACGCTGCTTCGAGACGGTTTCCACAACATTGAGCTACTTACTAGAGATGATTCTCCCGGTGGCGTGTGGTGCGCTCAACGTGTCTATCCTGGACTAATCATAAACAAGTTAGTACGCCTTCTTGCAAATTGACTTGTAAGCTGATGCTTTCTGCAGCGTCCACGGAGAGTACCGTTTCTCTCCACTTGACATGCATCGCCCATCCCACAACAAATCTGGTGGTGTCCGATTGTCCGGAGAGGACATGCAGTCATACATGGAAGAATTCGCTCATCGCTTCTTGTCCGATCAAATTCGATATGGACTCGAAGTTAAAAATATCCGATATGAGGACAGTAGCCATGAAGATAGTGACGTTCAGCGTACTTGGATAGTTAGCGCGGAGGAGGTGAAAACTAAACACCCCATTACACTCGAATATGACAACATTGTTCTATGTACCGGTGTAAGTATGCACTCAACTACTGCGTCTTAGTGTACTTTCACGCAGGGCTGTAGCGAGCCTTACATTCCCAAGGACCTCTCCCAGCATACCGCTCACGCTCAGGGCTTCAAAGGGCTCGTAATCCATTCTTATGAGTTTTGGCAGCATCTGCAGGAACTTTTAGTTAGCTGTCGGCGAATCTAATGATATTGGCGGCGATGGCAAAATCCTTGTCGTAGGTGGAGGGAAGTCAGCTCAGGAGTATGTTGATACTGATATTTTGTGGAACGCACACGACTGACTGGACTCTTCTGTGCAGTATATCCGCTTATCTAACTCAACAGGGAAAGCATGTATCTATGGTTTTCACGACTGCATATCCAACGCTAGCCTTCCCCTTTCACCTACTGGCTTCATTCGCAGGAGCTGGTGAGCAATCTAAATGAGAGCTCAGACCGAGGCACTAAATCTCAATAGAATTTTCTCGATCTTGTCCCCTGATGTGGAGCTACGTACGGGCCTAGAGTGAGTAATCGCAGTAAATGCTTACTCACTCATGAGTAACATTCCCATACAACAGACGCTTCCTCCATGAGACCTGACTAGGTAGCAAGATTGTGCACGCCTCGTACAATCTTGTGGCCTGGCTTTCTGTAAGCAATTCATTCATGTGTCCGAAGCATTTTATGATATTAGCAATGCTTTCTAGTTCAAATCATTATCATTCCCGAAAGACTCACCTCTCCGTCGCTCCAGAAGCCTCTTCTGGGGTGTCCATGTAAATGACCAAGGAGTTGGACGCCATAATGACTTCCACTCTCTAGTCAATCAAGGAAAGATTGAACTCATTGCCCCGGCTCGTGCAGTATGTTATGGAAAGGATGCAAACACTGTCCTACTGGACAGCGAGCAATCGTTCCATGCCGATGCAGTTGTACTTGCCACAGGTTACTCGTCCTCATGGGAACAAGATATTCAGTGGTAAGATACAAGACGAAACCATGAAGAGTTGACCTTTATGATTGACCACAGATGAAATGAAGGAGGCTATTGGACTGGATAGACATGCACCCAACCCGTTTTCCATGAAGTACAAGTGGAAATATTGCTCCTTGTCCAACCCCTCGACTGCTCACCCGGATAGCAAGCAACGGGCGTCCTCTATCTATCGAGGTATTGTACCAGCCAAGAACATCTTGTTCCGAGATCTCGCAATTAACGGAGCCATAGTGAGTATCGATTCTTATCCCTCCAATGGAGAATAAATTCCAGAGATCGATCCCAGTTCACAACCAACAACGGCTATGTGTATGAGGTTGTTGCCCACTGGATCTCGTCTTACTTTCTCGGAAGCCAGAGTTTGCGGCTTCTGTCTTCTGCAGAAGAGGCGATGGAACATGCTGAAAGGCATGCAGCATGGTTAAGACTACGGCATCCAGATATACTTCTTGCCATCAACGAGAGCTACAGCAGCGACCTTGCATTCTTTTGGTTGGGATTCAGACGTTGCTTTACAAATGCACACTACTGATTCCTGGCGCTCGACAGCTGGCCACAGCTCGCAGATACGCTGCTTGAGGATATGCGTTTGGCTAGCAGAAGGGATGGAGGGAATACCTTTACGTGGCCATTCAAAGTGATCGATTTAAGTGAAATTGCTAACCTGTCACTGGAACGCAGCCAGCTGAGAGCCAGCGAAGGGAGTTAGTGATAGCTCGGCTGATATTGAAGCTTTGCACCATGTGGCACTAGTGCGTCTATATATATTGGTATCGTCCGTCATATGTCTGGGAATATAAGAATAATGAATCTACTCATAACGTCCACCGGAAAACTCAGATTTAAGAGAATTTCCTCCAACCTGCATTCCTGCCTCACATTCCACATCATCGCCTAACATATGTGTGCCCGGAACACTTCCCATACAAGACTGGCATCACTGCAGTGTCGGCAGCCCGACTGATTATTGGAGAAAAGGCAACAAGGTCACGGCCCCCTGATTGTGGATCCCTGTCAGTGTGTGTGATGCCTTCCTAGCCTACCTGTTTAGTATACTGCTTGCTTCGGCTAATTGAAGCACTGTAGGTTCTGTGGTTGATAACACCAATGTTCCCCTTGACACTGAGTGTCCCATCCAGATCAATCAATCAACTCATGGCAAACATGTGAGGGATGTTCATCATCACTTTTCCATGCAGAAAGTTTTTATTCCAGTCTCATAAGATTAGTAATATAGGCAGTGTATTTAGATATCTATGAAGTAGCTACAATTGGGTTTCAGCACTGAGTATCTATCATATAGTGTGAATGTGAACTTATTGATGTCTGTTCATAAAACAAACATTCAAGCAGAGATCACTGTTATAGACTATTGTGAATAATCAAAAAAAAGATATAGTAGTTAACAGAGTACAGTCCAGAGCAATAAGCAGACTGGTAAACTATACTACAGGCACAACCTTTGAATCATCCTCACTCATATCACTCCATGCCTGATGCATTCTCCTGTTTACACCCTCCTTACTGTCAGCATGAACATCTCTCATCTCATGTTGCTCCACAGTAACCAAAACCTACACCAAATCACTAATATAGTTTGATACTTCAATCAAACAACTCACTTGTGCAGTATGCTGTGATTGCTGGTTTTGATGATTGCCAGAGGCAGAGGTAAGAGTCTATCAATTATTATCAAGTTCATGAAGACAAAAAAACAAACATACAGAAACAATGCCTGCTGATCTTTGCTGTACACCTTTAGGTGTAGATAGCAAGGCTCTAGAATTGAGGCTTGACATAACTGAGTTTCCATAACTATAATTTATGAATATGAGATGCACAACTGTCAGTAGAATATAAATAGACTTACAGCTTGCAAAGGGTATAATTGAAAGCTAATAAAATATAAGAAAAATTCATAAAAAAAAAAAAA